TTTTTTGGCAATTTTTTGGGAATTTTCAGGGATTTTTTTGCAATTTCCCGGCATTTTGGGGGGATTTTTTAGGGGTTTTTTTGATGTTTGGGGCTTTGTGTATTCCAAGGGTTAAAGGATCTCGAGGGTTAAATGATTTCTAGGATTTGAGGGAATTCCCAGAAGTTTTGGGAATTTTTTGGCAATTTTTCGGGAATTTTCAGGGATTTTTTAAGGAATTTTTCGGGGATTTTTGGGTGTCTTGGGTTTGGTGCATTCCAAGGGTTAAAGGATCTCGAGGGTTAAATGATTTCTAGGATTTGAGGGAATTCCCAGAAGTTTTGGGAATTTTTTGGCAATTTTTTGGGAATTTTTTGGCAATTTTTTGGGAATTTTTTGGGACTTTTACGGATTTTTCTCTGATTTTTTGCGGATTTTCAGGGATTTTTTAAGGAATTTTTCGTGGATTTTTGGGTGTCTTGGGTTTGGTGCATTCCAAGGGTTAAAGGATCTCAAGGCTTGAAGGATTCCTGGGATCTGTGGAGTTTTTTGGGAATTTTAGGGGTTTTTTTTGGGGAATTTTCTGGGATTTTTTTATTTTTTGGGATTTTTTTTTGGGGGGGTTTGTCTAGGATTTTTTGGGTTTTTGGATTTGATGTTTTCCAAGAGTTTAAGGATTCCAAGAGTTGGGCGATCCCAAGAGTTGAACGATTTCTGGGATTTTTTAGATTTCCTTGGATTTGGGCGTTCCTGGAATGGGGCAATTCCTGGAACTTGGGGTCGATCTGGGATTTTTTTTGGGGGGGGATTTGGGTTTTTTTTGGTACCGGCGAGATCCTAAATCCCCAAATCCCATAAATCCCAAATCCCGGCAGCTGTGCCGGCGGCACAAGGTGGGGATCCTCTACTGCAAGGCCGGGCAGAGCTCGGAGGAGGAGATGTACAACAACGAGGCCGCCGGGCCCGCGCTCGACGAGTTCCTCACGCTCCTCGGAGAGAAGGTGTCCCTCAAGTCCTTCACCAAGTACGCGGCGCAGCTGGACACCAAGAGTGAGTTTGGGGATCTCGGGATCTTCCAGGGATCTGGGATTGCACCAGGAGGTCCCAAGGGTTGGAGGATTCCAAGAGTTGGGAGATCTCAAAGGTGGAAGGATTCCAAACAGTGAAGGATCCCAAGAGTTGGAGGATTCCAAAGGTTGAAGGATCCCGAGAGTTGGTTGAAGGATCCCAAAGGTTGGATCCACAAGTTGGAGGATCCCAAGGGTTGGGGGATTCCAAGAGTTGGTTGAAGGATCCCAAGGGTTGGATGGTCCCAGAAGTTGGGGGATCCCAAGGGCTGAAGGATACCAAGAGTTGGAGCCTCTTGGCAGAGAAGGTGTCCCACAAGTCCTTCACCAAGTACGCGGCGCAGCTGGACACCAAGAGTGAGTTTGGGGATCTCGGGATCTTCCAGGGATCTGGGATTGCACCAGGAGGTCCCAAGGGTTGGAGGATTCCAAGAGTTGGGAGATCTCAAAGGTGGAAGGATTCCAAACAGTGAAGGATCCCAAGAGTTGGAGGATTCCAAAGGCTGAAGGATCCCAAGAGTTGGTTGAAGGATCCCAAAGGTTGGATCCACAAGTTGGAGGATCCTAATGGTTGAAGGATTCCAACAATTCATTGAAGGATCCCAAGGGTTGGATGGTCCCAGAAGTTGGGTGATCCCAGAGGTTGAAGAGTTTGGGGGGATCCCAAGGGTTGGATGATCCCAAGGGTTGGGGGATTCCAAGAGTTGGTTGAAGGATCCCAAGGGTTGGATGGTCCCAGAAGTTGGGGGATCCCAAGGGCTGAAGGATACCAAGAGTTGGAGCCTCTTGGCAGAGAAGGTGTCCCACAAGTCCTTCACCAAGTACGCGGCGCAGCTGGACACCAAGAGTGAGTTTGGGGATCTCGGGATCTTCCAGGGATCTGGGATGTTCTCAGGATCTGGGATTTCACCAGGAGATCCCAAGGGTTGGAGGATTACAAGGGTTGAAGTATCCCAAGAGTTGAAGGATCTCAAGGGTTGAAGGAGCCCAAGACTTGGGGGATTCCAAGAGTTGGTTGAAGGATCCCAAGGGTTGAAGGATTCCTAGAACTGGGGATCCCGAGGGTTGAGAGATCCCAAAAGTTGAAGGATCCCAAGAGTTGGAGTGTCTTGGCAGAGAAGGTGTCCCTCAAGTCCTTCACCAAGTACGCGGCGCAGCTGGACACCAAGAGTGAGTTTTGGGGTCTTGGGATCTTCCTGGGATCTGGGATTTCACCAGGAGATCCCAAAAGTTGGGTGATCCCAAGGGTTGAAGGATTCCAAGAGCTGGGAGATCTCAAAGGTTGAAGGATTCCAAGAATTGGGAGATTCCAAGAACTGGGGGATCCCGAGGGTTGGGAGATCCCAAAAGTTGAAGAATTCCAAGAGTTGGTTGAAGGATTCCAAGAGTTGGTTGAAGGATCAGAGGGGTTGGATGGTCCCTGAAGTTGGGGAATCCCAAAGGTTGCTTAAGGGATTGCAAGGTTTGGGGGATCCCAAAAGTTGAAGCATCCAAGGGTTGGATGGTCCCAGAAGTTTGGTGATCCCAAGGTTGAAGGATTCCAAGAGTTGGGAGATCCCAGGGGTTGGATGGTCCTGGAGGTTGGGTGATCCCAAGGTTGAAGGATGATCCCAGCGGTTGGGTGGTCCCTGTTGGACACCAAGAGGGAATTTTGGGATGCGTTCCCGGTAGCTGAGATTTTACCGGATCCGCTTTTTGGGATTTAGCTGGGTTCACTTTTCGGGATTTCCCCGGATCTGTTTTTTCGGGATTTCACCGGATCCACTTTTTGGGATTTTGCCAGATCTGCTTTTTCGGGTTTTTACCGGATCCCTTTTTTGGGATTTCACCGTCTCCGCTTTTCCCGGTTTTCCGCAGCCGATTCCACGGGCACGCACTCGCTCTACACCACGTACCAGGACTATGAGATCATGTTCCACGTGTCCACCATGCTGCCCTACACGCCCAACAACCGCCAACAGGTACCACCGGAGCCTCCGGATCGTCCCGGGGTTTTCCATGGATTCAATCCATGGAGATTGGGAGATCCCAAGGGTTGGGTGGTCCTAGAAGTTGGGGGATCCCAAGGGTTGGTTGGGAGATCCAAGGGTTGGATGGTCCCAAGAGTTGGATTTTCCCAAGGGTTGAAGGATTCCAGGAGTTGGTTGGAAGATCCTAAGGACGGGTTGATCCCAAGGGTTGGGTGGTCCCAGAAGTTAGGAGATTCCAAGAGCTGGGTGATTGCAAAAGTTGGAATTGGGGGATTCCAAGAGTTGGTTGAAGGATCCCAAGGGTTGAAGGATTCCTAGAACTGGGGATCCCGAGGGTTGAGAGATCCCAAAAGTTGAAGGATCCCAAGAGTTGGAGTGTCTTGGCAGAGAAGGTGTCCCTCAAGTCCTTCACCAAGTACGCGGTGCAGCTGGACACCAAGAGTGAGTTTTGGGGTCTTGGGATCTTCCTGGGATCTGGGATTTCACCAGGAGATCCCAAAAGTTGGGTGATCCCAAGGGTTGAAGGATTCCAAGAGCTGGGAGATCTCAAAGGTTGAAGGATTCCAAGAATTGGGAGATTCCAAGAACTGGGGGATCCCGAGGGTTGGGAGATCCCAAAAGTTGAAGAATTCCAAGAGTTGGTTGAAGGATTCCAAGAGTTGGTTGAAGGATCCCAAGGGTTGGATGGTCCCTGAAGTTGGGGGATCCCAAAGGTTGCTTAAGGGATTGCAAGGTTTGGGGGATCCCAAAAGTTGAAGCATCCAAGGGTTGGATGGTCCCAGAAGTTGGGTGATCCCAAGGTTGAAGGATTCCAAGAGTTGGGAGATCCCAGGGGTTGGATGGTCCTGGAGGTTGGGTGATCCCAAGGTTGAAGGATGATCCCAGCGGTTGGGTGGTCCCTGTTGGACACCAAGAGGGAATTTTGGGATGCGTTCCCGGTAGCTGAGATTTTACCGGATCCGCTTTTTGGGATTTAGCTGGGTTCACTTTTCGGGATTTCCCCGGATCTGTTTTTTCGGGATTTCACCGGATCCACTTTTTGGGATTTTGCCAGATCTGCTTTTTCGGGTTTTTACCGGATCCCTTTTTTGGGATTTCACCGTCTCCGCTTTTCCCGGTTTTCCGCAGCCGATTCCACGGGCACGCACTCGCTCTACACCACGTACCAGGACTATGAGATCATGTTCCACGTGTCCACCATGCTGCCCTACACGCCCAACAACCGCCAACAGGTACCACCGGAGCCTCCGGATCGTCCCGGGGTTTTCCATGGATTCAATCCATGGAGATTGGGAGATCCCAAGGGTTGGGTGGTCCTAGAAGTTGGGGGATCCCAAGGGTTGGTTGGGAGATCCAAGGGTTGGATGGTCCCAAGAGTTGGATTTTCCCAAGGGTTGAAGGATTCCAGGAGTTGGTTGGAAGATCCTAAGGACGGGTTGATCCCAAGGGTTGGGTGGTCCCAGAAGTTAGGAGATTCCAAGAGCTGGGTGATTGCAAAAGTTGGAAGATCCCAAGGGTTGAAGGATTCCAAGGGTTTGTTGGAGGAGCTCAAGGATTGGTTAATCCCAAGGGTTGAAGGATTCCAAGAGCTGGGAGATCCCAGAGGCTGGATGATCCCAAGGGTTGAAGGATTCCAAGAGTTGAACAATCTCAAAGTTTGGTTGGAAGATCCCTGAGTCTGGGGGATCCTGAGGGTTGGATGGTCCCAGAAGTTGGGGAATCTCAGGGGTGGGTTGGGAGATCCAAGAGTTGGAGAATCTTAAGGGTTGGATGATCCCAGTGTTTGGCTGGGGGATCCAAGGGTTGGTTGGTAGATCCAAGAGTTGTTTGGTCCCCCGAGTTGGAGGATCCCAAGGGTTGGGTGGTCCCATGATTTGGAGAATCCCAAAGATTGGATGATCCCAAAGGTTTGTTGGATGATCCCAAGGATTGAAGCATCCCAAGAACTGAACAACCCCAAAACTTCCTTGGACCATCCCAAATCTTCATCCCACCCATTCCCACTGGGTTTTTTTTTCCCAAAAAAACCATTCCCAGCTTCTCCGGAAGCGCCACATCGGCAACGACATCGTCACCATCATCTTCCAAGAACCCGGCGCGCTGCCCTTCACGCCCCAGAACATCCGCTCCCACTTCCAGCACGTCTTCATCATTGTCCGCGCCCACCAGCCCTGCTCCGACAACGTCTCCTACAGGTGGATCCCAAAAATTCCACAAGTTTTGCAAAATAATCCCCCAAAATACCAAAAATTTGTAAAAAATCAGCAAAAATTCCCAAAATTTTGCAAAAAAAATCCCCCAAAACACCAAAAATTTGTAAAAAATCAGCAAAAATCCCCAAAATTTTGCAAAAAAATCCCAAAACTTTCTGAAAATTCTGATCCCATTGGATCTTCTGGGCCTGGGAGTCAGGAATCCCAAAAATTCCCCTAAATTTGCAAAAAAATCCCCCAAAACACCAAAAATTTGTAAAAAATCAGCAAAAATTCCCAAATTTTGCAAAAAATTACCAAAAATTTCTGAAAATTCCCAAAAATTTGCAAAAATTTGCAAAAAGTCCCCAAAATTTGCAAAAAATGAGCAAAGATTCCCCAAGTGTTGCAAAAAATTACCAAAACTTTCTGAAAATTTTGATCCCATCAGATCTGCAGGGCCCAGGAGTTGGGAATCCCAAAAATTCCCCAAAAAATTCCAAAAATGTGTAAAAAATACCCCAAAATTCCCAAAAATTAGCAAAAAATTATCACAAATTTCTGAAAATTCCCAAGATTTTGTAAGAAGTTCCCCAAAATTTGCAAAAATTCCCAAAAGTTTGCAAAACTTTGCAAAAATTCCCAAACCGTCCCAAAAATTTGGAAAAAAAATTGCCAGAACTTTGCAAAAAATTCCCCAAAATTGCAAAAAATTCCCAAAATTTGTGGGGATGGGGTTGGAGAAAGAGTCTGATGGTTTTGGGGTGGGATTTGGGGAGAATTCTGGTTCTTGGAAGGGTTGGGATGGATTTTCCTTCAGGGATTTTAGGGTTTGGAGTTGATGGTGTTGGGTCAAGGGTTGGATGATCCCAAGAGTTGGAGGGTCCCAAAGATTGGATGATCCCAAAAATTGGTTGACGGATCCCAAAGATTGGTTGGATGATCCCAAAGGTTGAAGGATCCCAAAAACTGGTTGGAGAATCCCTGAAATTAGATGATGATCTCAAAGGTTGGTTGGGTGATCCCAAAGGTTGGAAGATCCCCAAAATTATTTGGATCATCCCAAGAGTTGGAGGATCCCAAAAATTGGTTGGATGATCTCAAAGAGTTGGCTGATCCCAAAGATTGGTTGGAGAATCCCTGAAATTAGATGATGATCTCAAAGGTTGGTTGGGTGATCCCAAAGGTTGGAAGATCCCCAAAATTATTTGGATCATCCCAAGAGTTGGAGGATCCCAAAAGTTGAAGGGTCCCAGGAGTTGGGGAATCTCAAAAGTTGAAGGATCCCAAAGATTGGTTGGATGATCCCAAGAGTCGAAGGGTCCCAAAAATTGATTGGAGGGTCCCAAGAGTTGGGGGATCCCAAAGATTGGTTGGATGATCCCAAATGTTGAAGGGTCCCAAAAATTGGTTGGAGGATCCTAAAGGTTGAAGGATCCCAAGAGTTGAAGGATCCCAAAGATTGGTTGGATGATTCCAAAAGTTGAAGGATCCCAAATATTTGTTGGATGATCCCAAAGATTGGTTGGAGGATCTCAAAGATTGGTTGGAAGATCCTAAGAGTTGAAGAATCCCAAAGATTGATTGGAATATCCCCGAAATCGGCCAACCCCAAATCTTGAAGAACCCCAAGCTGACCAACCCCAAAGACCTTCCCCAACCTCCAAATCCCCTAAACCCCAAAATTCCTTCTTCCCTCCCCCTTTTCCCCCCAAAAAGCGTCGCCGTCACCCGCTCCAAGGACGTCCCTCCCTTCGGCCCCCCGGTGCCGCCGTCCGGCGTCACCTTCCGCCGCTCCGACCTCTTCCGCGCCTTCCTCTTGGCCAAAGCCATCAACGCCGAGAACGCCGCCCACAAATCCCACAAATTCCGCACCATGGCCACCAGGACTCGCCAGGAATATCTGCGGGATTTGGCGGAAAATTACGTCACCAACACCCCCTTGGACACGGTTGGGAAGTTCAACCTCATCTCCTTGGCTTCCAAAAAGAAGGAGAAATCCAAAGCGCGGCCGTTGGCGGAGTTGGAAAGCGCCGGCGCCGTTTCTTGGCGCGTTTCCGCTTTGGATTTCGGCCGCGGCGGGGCGGAGATTCCGTGCGTTTTGGGGATTTCCAAGGAATTTGTGGTTTTGGTGGATTTGGGAGCCAAGGAAGTTGTTTTTAATTGTTTCACCGGGGATGTGATCGGGTGGAGCGCCGAGGGAACGGCGTTGAGGATCTACCACGGGCGCGGGGACCTGGTCAGCGTCAGGGTGGGAGCGGGAGCGGAGGAAGGAGCGGAGGGAGCGGCCGAGGAGGTCAAGGAGATCGTGCAGAGGTTGAAGGTGAGGAGGATTGGGGGAAATTTGGGGGAAATTGGGAAAAATGGGGGGAAATTGGGAAAAATGGGGGGAAATGGGGAAAAAATGGGAAAATATTTGGGGAAGTTTGAGGGGAAATTGGGGAAAAAGGAGAAAAAAAAGGGGGGAATGGGGGAATATTGGGGGAAATCAGGGAGAAAAAGGGGGAAAATGGGGGGAAATTGGGAAAAAAATGGGGGGAAAACAGGGAAAATTTGGGGGAAATAGGGAAAAATGGGGAAAACTTGGGAAAAATGGAGAGAACATGGAAAAAAATGGGGGGAAAATGGGGGGAATTGGTGGGAGAAAATTGGGGAAGTTGAAGAAGGGAAAATGGGAATTGGGGGAAAAATAGGATTTGAGGAGGGGGAAAACTTGAGGAAATTGGGAAATGGGGGATTGGGATGACGTGGGGGAAAATTGGGGTAAAAATGAAGTTAAATGGTGGGAATTTGGGTTAAAATGGAGGAAATTGGGGTAAAATGGAGGAAATTGGTGGTAAAATGGTGGAAATTTGGGTTAAAATGGTGGAAATTTGGGTTAAAAGTGAGGAAATTGGGGTGAATTGTGGAAATTGGGTTAAAATGCAGAAAATCAGGGAAAATTTGAGGAAATTTGTGTTAAAATGAGGAAATTGAGGAAAAATTGGTGAATTGGAGAATGGGCGGAAAGAGGGAATTAGGCAAATACGAGAATCCGCCAAAAATGGCGGAAGACCCAAAAAATCGCCAACAAAATACCAACAAAAACCAACCCAAAAAACCTCAATTTTGGCACAAAACTTTCAATTTTGCTTTTCCACCTCGGTGCCACCCAACCCCTGAACGGTGTGCGGCAGATGACCACGCCGGGTTGCGCCACGGTGGACATGACGCTCCGACGCAACGGCTTGGGCCAACTGGGCTTCCACGTCCACCCCGACGGCAGCGTGGCCGAGGTGGAGGAGTACGGCTTCGCCTGGCAGGCCGGGCTGCGGCGCGGCAGCCGCCTGCTCGAGGTGTGCAAGGTGGCCGCCGTGGCCCTGAGCCACGAGCAGATGATCGACCTCCTGCGCACCTCGGTCACCGTCACCGTGGTCATCGTGCCGCCGCACGAGGATGGGACACCCAGGAGGTTGGTGGTGTGGGTGGTTTTGATGATGGTTGGGTGCCATTGGTGACATCTGAATGTTCTGGAGGACATTGGTGCCATCTTGGTGCCATTGGTGCCATCTGAGTGTCTTGGGTGCCATTGCCGCCATCCCCGTGCCGTGGGTGCCCCAGTGTCCCCGGGCCGCGGTGGCACGCCCTGCTCGAGGTGTGCAAGGTGGCCGCCGTGGCCCTGAGCCACGAGCAGATGATCGACCTCCTGCGCACCTCGGTCACCGTCACCGTGGTCATCGTGCCGCCGCACGAGGATGGGACACCCAGGAGGTTGGTGGTGTGGGTGGTTTTGATGATGGTTGGGTGCCATTGGTGACATCTGGATGTTCTGGAGGACATTGGTGCCATCTTGGTGCCATTGGTGCCATCTGAGTGTCTTGGGTGCCATTGGTGCCATTGGGATGTTGTGAGTGCCATCGGTGCCATTGGTGACATCTGAATGTCTTGGGAGACGTTGGTGTCTTTGGGGTGACACATGTCTCATTGGTGCCATCTTGGTGTCTTGGGTGCCATTGGTGACATTTGAGTGCCATTGATGACCTTGGTGCCATCTTGGTGCCATTGGCACCATTTGGGTCTCTTGAGTGCCATTGGTGCCATTGGGTTGTTGTGGGTGCCATTGATGGCACTTGAGTGTCATGGATGCCATTGGTGCCATCTTGGTGCCATTGGTGCCATCTGAGTGTCTTGGGTGCCATTGGAGCCACTGAGATTTGTGGGTGCCATTGGCGCCATCTTGGTGTCATGGATGTCATTGGTGCCATCTTGGTGCCATTGGTGCCATCTGATGGTCTTGGGCGCCATTGGAGCCACTGAGATGTTGTGGGTGCCATTGGCGCCATCTTGGTGTCATGGGCGCCAGTTGGGTATCCTGGGTGCCATTGGTGCCGTTGGGTTGTTGTGGGTGCCATTGATGGGACTTGAGTGTCATGGATGCCATTGGTGCCATCTTGGTGCCATTGGTGCCATCTGAGTGTCTTGAGTGACGTTGGTGCCATTGGGATGTTGGGAGGGCCATTGGCGCCATCTTGGTGTCATGGATGTCATTGGTGCCATCTTGGTGCCATTGGTGCCATCTGATGGTCTTGGGTGCCATTGCCGCCATTGGGATGTTGGGAGGGCCACTGATGCCATCAGGGTGTCATGGATGCCATTGGTGCCATCTTGGTGCCATTGGTGCCATCTTGGTGCCATCTTCATGTCTTGGGTGCCACTGGTGCCATTGAGATGTTGTGAGGGCCATTGATGCCATTGGTGCCACCTTGGTGCCACTGATGATACTGGTGCCATCTGGATGTCATGGATGTCATCGGTGCCATCTTGGTGCCATTGGTGCCATCTGGATGTCATGGATGTCATTGGTGCCATCTTGGTGCCGTTGGTGCCATCTGATGGTCTTGGGTGCCATTGGTGCCTTTGGGATGTTGTGGGTGGCATGGGTGGCATCTTGGTGCCATTGATGATGCTGGTGCCATCTTGGTGCCATTGGTGCCATCTTGGTGTCTTGGGTGTCATTGGCGCCATCTTGGTGCCGTTGGTGCCATCTGGATGTCATGGATGTCATTGGTGGCATCTTGGTGCCGTTGGCGCCATCTTGGTGTCTTGGGTGTCATTGGTGATATTTGGGTGCCATTGGTGACATCTTGGTGCCATGGGTGCCACCAGTGCCACCATTCCCCTGTCCCGTGGTGCCATCTTGCTGCCACATCCCCCTGTCCCTCGATGCCACCAGTGCCACCTTCACCTGTCCCAGTGGTGCCATCCCAGTGCCATCCTGATGCCACCAGTGCCACGGTGCCACCTTTCCCCTTGTCCCTGTCCCAGTGCCACCAGTGCCACCTTTCCCCTTGTCCCTATCCCAGTGCCACCAGTGCCACCTTTCCCTTATCCCAGTGCCACCGGTGCCACCTTTCCCCTGTCCCAGTGCCACCAGTGCCACGGTTCATCTTGGTGTCTTGGGTGTCATTGGTGATATTTGGGTGCCATTGGTGACATCTTGGTGCCATGGGTGCCACCAGTGCAGCTTTCCCCTGTCCCAGTGGTGGCCACCAGTGCCACCATTCCCCTGTCCCGTGGTGCCATCTTGCTGCCACCTCCCCCTGTCCCTCGATGCCACCAGTGCCACCTTCACCTGTCCCAGTGGTGCCATCCCAGTGCCATCCTGATGCCACCAGTGCCACGGTGCCACCTTTCCCCTTGTCCCTGTCCCAGTGCCACCAGTGCCACCTTTCCCCTTGTCCCTATCCCAGTGCCACCAGTGCCACCTTTCCCTTATCCCAGTGCCACCGGTGCCACCTTTCCCCTGTGTTGGTGCCATCTGAGTGTCTTGAGTGACGTTGGTGCCATTGGGATATTGGGAGAGCCATTGGCGCCATCTTGGTGTTATGGATGCCATTGGTGCCATCTGATGGTCTTGAGTGCCATTGGAGCCACTGAGATGTTGTGGGTGCCATTGGCGCCATCTTGGTGTCATGGGTGCCAGTTGGGTGTGTTGGGGGCCATTGGTGCCATTGGGTTGTTGTGAAGGCCATTGGTGCCATCTTGGTGTCATGGATGCCATTGGTGCCATCTTGCTGTCTTGGGTGCCATTGGTGCCATTGAGATCTCTTGAGTGCCACTGATGTCATCAGAGTGTCATGGATGCCATTGGTGCCATCTTGGTGCCATTGGCGCCATCTGATGGTCTTGGGTGCCATCGGTGCCATTGGGATGTTGTGAGGGCCATTGATGCCATCTTGGTGTCATGGGTGCCAGTTGGGTGTGTTGGGGGCCATTGGTGCCATTGGGTTGTTGTGGGTGCCATTGATGGGACTTGAGTGTCATGGAGGACATTGGTGCCATCTTGGTGCCATTGGTGCCATCTGAGTGTCTTGGGTGCCA